CATCCCAAACCCCCTCCCCCTTCCCACACACCCCTCCTGCCCTCAAACTCCCTCACAAAGCCTGCACCCCCTCCCTTTGCACCGCCTCTCACCCCCAAACTCCATCCCAGAGCCTGCACCCCTCACCCCTTCCTGCACACCCACCCCCTGCCCCAGCCCAGAGCCTGCACCCAGCACTCAAACTCTATCCCAGAACCTGCACCCCTCCTGCACCCTAATCCCCAGCCCAGGATCTGCACCCCAGACCTCCTCCCCCACCCAACCCCCCTCCCAGAGCCTTAGGCAGGTCTGGGCACCACCAAAATTTCTAAAAACCTGCCACCCATGGCAGTCAGGGGACAGGTAGGGTCCTAGGGGGGCAGTTAGGCTGGGGGGGTTCTCAGGAGGGGGTAGTCAGGGGACAAGAAGCAGGGGGGGGTTGGGGGTTCTGAAGGGGGAAGTCGGGGTGGGAAGGAGTGGATGGGGGTGGGGCAGGGCTAGGGCGGGGCTCCCCCCTCCCCCAGTGTCCTCTTTTTTGATTGTGGAAATACGGTAACCCTAAGGCTGCGTCCAGTTCTGGAATGCACCCTTCAGAAAGGGTGTTGACAAATTAGAAAGGGTTCAGAAAAGAGCCACAAGAACAATGTGAGGTCTGGGAAACCTTCCTTGTAGTGAGCCACTAAAGAGGTTTGATCTATTTAGCTTATCCAAGAGAAGATGAGTCGATGACTGGATCCCAGTACCTACATGGGGAGGAGAATTTTGATAGCAGAAGGCTCTTCAGAGTAGCAGCCAAAGGCTAAATGAGATCCAGTGGCAGGAAGCTGAAGGGAGACAAATTCAGACTGGAAATAAGGTGTGAATTTCTAGCCGTGGGGGAATTAACCACTGGAACAACTCACTGAGGGATGTGGTGGATTCCCCATCACTTGGAGTCTTTACACACCGAGCCTGGACGACTGTAACAGCTCCGCTCTAGCGCCACCAGAAGTTCTGGGCTGGCTGCAGGAATCACGCGGTGAGGTTCGTTGGCCGGGGTTATGCAGGAGGTCAGGCCGGGTGGTCAGAATGGTCCCTTCTGGCTATAAACTCTACGAATCCCTCACCCCTGTCTGCCCAGCTGTGGGAGGCAGAGTGTGATAGAGACACAAAATGAAGGATTCACATAAACGTATCAAGGCAGGAAGAACTAAGACTAAGAGGCCACGTGGTCCTCAAAGTCAGCAAATCTGGGTTGTATTCCTGCCTTGGCTACTGACTGGCTGTGTGTCCTTGGGCAAGTCCCTTTCCGTCTCTGTGCCTCAGTTTACCCTCTTGCCCTTTCTGTTTTCCCTTGTGAGCCGGGCAGGGGCTGTCCTTGCTCTGGGTGTGTGCTGTGGCTGGCACAATGGGGCCCTGATCTGGGGTGGGCCTGTGGGTGTGGCTATAATAGAAATAACTAATGAAGTGGGAAGCTTTAGCGTCATTTACAAATGACTCTGTCGCCTCCTCCTTGTGCTGCTTTATCCTTGCTGGAAGTGACGTCCCGCAACCCAGGCCTGTTGGCTAAGCAAAATGAGACCTTACCCTCAACTCCACGGCATTTCTCTGTTTGTCAATCAGACAACTGGTTGGGGATAAATGGGGGACACACAGAGCTCCTGGCATGGGGAAAAGAGGGAGCTGGTGAGGACACAGAGAGCCCCTGACATGGGAGTGATGGGGGGACACACACAGCCCCTGGAATGGGGAAGAGAGGGCAATCGGGGGGACACAGAATTCCTGGGATAGGGCCAAGGTTCAGGTAGTCCCTGAAGTAGAGGGGGCTGGGAGGGTGGTATACAGGGAGCTTGTGGGGGATGCACAAACCGGGGAGTCTTGAGTAGGAGTAAATATGTTATTTTATCTCTGCATTTGGCATTGGTGCCACCACTTCTGGAATCCTGTGTCCAGTGCTGAAACCCACAATTCAAGAAGGATGTTGATACATTGGAGAGGGGTCAGAGAAGAGCCACAGGAATGATTAAAGGATTAGAAAACCTGCCTTATAGTGACAGACTCAAGGAGCTCAACCTATTTAACTTTCCAAAGAGAAGGTTAGAGCGTGACTTGATCCCAGTCTGTAAGTACCTACATGAAGAACAAATATTTAATAATGGGCTCTTCAGTCTAGCAGAGATCCAATGGCTGGAAGTTGAAACTAGACAAATTCAGACTGGAAATAAGGCGTAAATTTTTAACAGTGAGAATAATTAACCACTGGAACAATTTACCGAGGGTCGTAGTGGATTCTCCATCACTGACCATTTTTAAATGGAGATTGGATGAATTTCTAAAAGCTCTGCTCTAGGAATTATTTTGGAGCAGGTCTCTGCCCTTTGTTATCCAGGAAATCAGAAGAGATGATCACAATGGTCCCTTCTGGCCTTGGAATCTATGAGGAGCCCCTGTGGGTACAATGAACAGAGCGAACAGAAGAAATAAAGTGTGGGACCCGCTAGCATAGAGTGTAGGTCACTTCAGGAGCTGAAATGAGTGATATGTCAGAGCCCTTCAGTCCCAGCTCCTACCCCACATCCCTGGGGCCTCCCAGGAGGTCTCCAGCAGAACTACAGAAGAGGAGACTGATTGGGGGATGGGTTTAATTTGAGATCGAGAACACCGTTATGGAGAGGAGCTCTCCACGTCTGCTGTGATACTTCACCTGTTCCACGCTCCAGCTGTTCTTGGAGAATGGACCCATGGGTGAGGGTTGACACAGTGGGACAAACAAGGGCACATTAATTGGGACACAGGACTCTGAGCCCTTAAGGGGGCCTGTAATTCTGATCCCATGTGTTTTCTCTCCAATCTCGAGAGAGCATCCACAGGGAAATCTACCGCCTAGTACCCCTCCCTGGGCACATCCCCTGGGGAGAGGGCACCCCATTGCTCCCCACGCTGGTCTAGTCTGAAGTGTCTTCCCCAGGGGCTCGATATCTGACCAGCCCAGCCACTCCGTGTTAGGAGCCTTTTCATAATACTACATCCGGCAAATCCCTGGGTTAAAAACATAGAGCTCAGAAGCGCCCAGGACTAGAGCGGAGCCGGGATGAGCGGGGCTGTGACAGCGCCGGTACCTTTCCGTCCCAGCAGCATCCCGGGCTCCCAGCCCGTGTGTGCGCAGGGCCCAGTCCCCATCTGCCGCCCCACAGAACCCAGGCGAGAATCGCCCCGGCCGGG